CAAGGACTATCTTTGTAGTTTCTCTCTGTTTTCTCCTATTTAGTTTTTTGCCCAGAAAGTAACTGTGTTCTCAGTTGACCAATAAGGGGGTAAAATTGTTCAATATTTGCTCAACATCAGTGTGTTTGGGGAAGGGGAGATTAGTGACAGTGATAGAGCTTTTTCTCTTTAATAGTGACTTGTTTAGTTCAATAGTACACATAACCATTTGCCCTTTGGAACTGTAGGTGTTTGTTCAGAGCAGAAGAGCCCTTTTTTATCAGTTCAGAAGGAGGATCATACACGTTCTTCCAAGTAGAGCATAATGCTGAAGACAGGAGGTGCCCCTCAGCTCAATATTCACAAGCCAAGAGAGGGCCCCACGGTGCTGGTCTGGGACTGCAGACCCACCTCATGGCCTCCGATGGACAGAGAGCCCACTGCTTAGAAAGCTTCTATTGTATCACCCAGATTTCCACCTGGTGGGTGAAGATTTACTTGCCATCTGGTATGTCCAGGCTTGAACTCACCATCGTCCTCCTTTCTTTGCGTCAGATATCACTGGAAGCATCCATTTTCCTTCTGCTCGGTCTTCAAACCATGCAGTCACCTCCAGCTGTTCCACTTTCTCTCTTGCATCTCCTACCTCATTAACACCTGGATGTCTTCATCGTGCAGGTGGTTTTGCTTGGCCTTTGATATTATAGCCCTGGTCCTGCCACTTAGGAGCGAATTACTTTACATCCCAGATTCCTCATCTGTAAAGTGGACATAATGCCTTCCTTACAGGATAGTTATAAGAAACAAATAGAACATCAAATCTATCTAGAATGCATTAAGCACCAACAAGTGGCCGTAGGTTCTACTGTTATTAATTAAGTGTATTTGATCTTCAGTAGCCATTCCTTCCTTCTGGTCACCACCTAGTGTGAGGTCGTGGCATCCTTCTCATGTTGATTTCCTTTATTTTAAAACAATATTTATTGTGGTATGATTCCTATACAGTAAACTATGCATATTTCAGGGGTACACTTTGATGAATTTTGATACATATCTACACCCATGAAACTACTACCACACTCATGATAGCTAACATTTTC